GCGACGGTTTCTTCAGCTTCACCCTGTAATTTGCATAATCAAGGAATGGACGCAAAAATGAAAGATGGGAGTATGAGATACTGACAATGTTAACATCGAGTATGACCGTTCGTGCTCGTTTCTCTAGAGAAAAAATTTTCGCCATGCAGCGCCCTAATCCAGAAGCGCCACCCGTTATAACAATCAACTGCTTGTCGACGTTCTTGAAAAAAAAGGATTTTTGTTGCGCAGTTATTTTTTTGTATGACAAACACTTAGAAAAATTAAGCTACACCAATTGCTGTCGTCACAATCCGTACAATTTCTTTACCTACCTTCTGGTTTAATGTAATCCATCTTATTATATCTTTAGGTATGTCAATGAGAAGAAGATGAATCAAAACCCCAATAGTACTCAGTATTTTAAAAGACCATTGATTATACATAAGCAGCCTCCGACTTTTCAATTTCCTGGAAGTAACTTTATTGAACTCAAGATGACATATAACAAATTTGCTACGAAAACGACTGAAGGCTATAACAAAACATGATTTCAACGAGGAGGTTTCGGTGCTGCCATGCAGCGCAAGTGGGTCGCGTCCAAGGTCATCAAGCAACCTCTGTTGTGTAAAACCACTGCTGACAGACCAGGTCGAGTGCAAATAATGATTATATTGATCGGAAATATCGAACGTTTGAAGGCAATCGCTGCAGAGTAATAATAAACCTTCTCGCAGCATCGTAGTTATACATTAATGGAACAATATAACATTTAACCTGTATGATGCTTAACCGTACGATGCCCCCATTCGTATGATGATTTTGTTCGACATGCGTTCCTTCCTGTCGCATTGTTGAAATGTTGAAGTTTACTGCTTCATAACAGTGATTCACGAATATTTAGTTCATACTACTAAAGAGCAGTGTAAACATGCAATAAATGCAGTATGGTGCTAAGGAGTACGAAGCAGAAGTAAAGTAAGGAGCACAAATACCTCGGTCCTATAAGACCTACTCGATACATTTTGTAAATATGGCGTATGTTTGCTCAGTAAAGTGTAAGAGAAATAATACTATTGTTAATATTTCAATTTGTGGTTACCAGGGATGAGCCGTTTTGGGACTTTTGACAAACGGGGTCGAGCGATTTTCTCCAGCAGCTGTTGCCGATTATGATATTCCGTCCAGATGTCGTTGGGGGAATGTAGAACTCGAAAGCTCTATGGAGCTTTATGGAATATTTATGTTCCCATATGCATTAGTTGCACACTGTCGAACCTGCAGAGTTTGCTAGAAAGTTGTTCAAGTGGCCTCTGCCTCCTCCTGTAAATATGTGGTACTGTAGGGGCAGATCTTATGATCTACACCCACCTGATGAAAAACTGTGGTAGTTGCTTGGAAATAATGGGGTATTGGAGCGGTAGATTGTTCAACTTAGACGTCAAAAGATAGTTCCAATTTTTGTTGCATATGCTAAAAGAATGCGATAAAAGGGTGCGAGCATGGTTCTGAAATGATCTTTTTCTCTCACTTTTCTGGGGCGACGACGTGGACTACTGGACCTTGTATAGCCTCTTCCTTACTATAATGTACTCTTATTGGATCCATGTGTATGAGCCTCTTTAACGGTGATGTCCTTTTTGCTAATTTATATTCATTTGCTGTTTCACTGATCAACGACAGGAGTTCCTAAGGTCTTGCACTAACCAGGGAAGGGTTTCAAATTCCCATGGAACTTTGAATAGAGATGTGGGTATATCGATAGGGCTTGGAAAGTTATGAGTAAATATGGAAAGTAAAACCGCAAAGTGAGTACACCAAAAGAGTTGTGTGCGTACAAAACTTGCATGCCTAAAGCATGGGGATATAGTGAAAGTTCATAAGCGCAGTTGCTCGCAGTGGCCGTAAGGGTCATCGTGGCGTAGTGGCAGTGCCTCCCTCCCCAGGTTAGCGATGAAGATTTGCTCCCCGTTAACGTTTACGCTTTTGCAAAACGTGCTTTCATCCGAATAAAACCCCTGAACTTTTTTTACTAAATTAAATCAGCGCTTTGTTTAGGCTATCATTTGCGATCACCTACCTATCACCTAGCACTTATTTAAAGGTGCAGTTCACGATAATTCGTCAGGCGGGGGAGCCCCGCTTTTCCGCCCCTCGATCGATGTCACGTCAGACGAGTGGCGAAACAATACAGATTGCAACTATTCGCTCTAGGACCCACATACAATCAGCTGACCGCCAAGTGATGGGGCGATGTTTTTCACCCATTCTTTTTTCCTCTGATATTCTTTTTGCTGCCGCGATCCCTTATTTAATTTCCTACTAATAAAAGCTGAGAAACTTGGGATACTTTTGCTGTTACTAGGGTTTTTTGTTTAGTTATGCTTATAAGTAAATGATTTCTTGCTTACCGTGGTCTGTTATTCGCACCAGGACCCACACGTTCGCAGTGAGACACATTGTGGAGCTCGTCCTAACGCCCCACTCTTCTACATTTTTCTGGTCTCATTCTCATCCAGCCCCCTTTTTAATGGTCTTTCGAAGCCTTTTACACTTTGGAAACACCGATTCACGCAGTTTCTTCACCTTCATCGCACTACTTTCGACCTTGCCTTCAATTTTTCATCATAATCTGGATTACCCGAAATTATTTATCATGAACTCTGCCTTCACAACTCCTCCACGTCATTTTTGTAATGCTCTACCATTTTCAACTCCGAAACGCTCATACCCACACCCAAAATGAAACAGTCTTGGGCAAGGGGGAAAAAATCAAGATAGATGGAACAACCCAAAAAATGGTCGGAGAAAACGTGTATTATTGATCTCAAATTGATTGTATGTTTTATTTACGGTTGTAGAGAGACAGCATGTACAAATGTGGTTTGCATTTTGTGAACAACATATCTGCTTTGTTCATTCCTTAGGTTGTTTCATCTACATTCAGTTTTTCGTGTATATCTGTTTTAAGTGATTCGGGTTCCCCCTCCACCTCAAGAAATTTTAAATAAGTGCGGTGACAGGTGATGGGTAGGGGATCGCAAATGATAGTCGAAACAAAGCGTTGACTTAAATCAGTAAGGAAAACGGTCTTGGAGTCTCTATTCGAATGAAAGCACGTTTTGCAAAACCGAAAACGAAGACGGGGAGCAAGTCCTCATCGCTCACCTAGAGAGGGAGAGTACTGCCACTACGCCACGGGGGCCCCTATAGGTAAACCCTCGCGTTAAGATTGATCGAACCAATTCGTATGCAACCGCTCGTGTACAACGCGCACTTGCCATGTCAGCACTTGAAGAACTTCACCCCTTTTCGGTCGTCGCTAATAAAGACACCGTATCGTTAGGGAATCAATTTTATACCTCTATTTCATGAGACTTCATAGAACTCTTCAAGGGACTAGATGATGGACAGCTTCTGTCTAATTGAAAACGTGCCTAGAGTAAACCAAAGAAAAAGAGACGAGTATATAAGCAGCCGCTTAATGGCAGCAGATCCTCACTGGTCTGCATTGCCTCTCACAACGCTCTCATGTGCAGCGCTCATCGCATCGGCTATCTAACCTGCCTGTCCTAATCCCCTCCCCTATCGATAATATAATATTACAGTATTAGGATTGACAGAAAATCCTGCTTCAAAATTTCAATGTGACAAGCTTACGGAGGCACCGCAAACGCGTTAGATAGGATGATAATCTGTTAGGATGAGCAAAGAACATTCAACACATGAGTATGTAGATAAGTGCGCGAGAGTTTTCTGTACTTCATCGAAAATGATTTTTCAGCACCAACTTCGCTCCATTGTCTTCTACGAAGGAACTCGTTTACTAACTACTGGGTGAGACTGCCGTTTATTCGATCAGCCCCGACACTTGGCCGATGCTGTTCGAGAAATACGTTCAAGACTAACAAAAGTGCATTTACAGCATGACAACGTCCACATATCGCATCTAAGGTCGAAAAATCGCTGAGTCCGGCTGATATTCAGTTTTTCACCCACCGTATTCCCGGACCTACTCATCCCGATTACCACTTGATCTAGCCGCTCAAACACCACCTGCGAGTAAGAGAGTTCAAAACTTACAATGATCTGAAATTAGCAATCAATGACTTTTTTGAGTGACAGTTTCCTACCTCTGAAAAAGGCATCAGTGATTCTCCCAAGAAATTTCAGCAGGATTTCGGTTTTTGTGGTGAATATATTGTTGATATTTTACATGTCTAGAAAGTTTCATAGTTCGAAACCTTTCTTCGTAGGACCTTTTGCCGCCCCTCGATACATATAAATGAAGAAGTTTTATATAAGCATCTGTGACTATCCTATGATAATTCTCGTGCCTCTAAACCGTCACTTATAGGCCCGACCACCTTATATTCTGATATAGAGGTTCCAATGAGTTTTTTTGCGAGGACCTCTGCGGTAAAATTATTAGATGAATGATTTCCTTTTACCATAGTGCCATTGTTTCTAGCTCTCCGCAACTCTCCCTCCCTTCTTATCCGACTACTGTATTGAACCACTTAATCAGTGGAACGACTTCGGAGGGTCCAGAAAAGGACAATAAAATTGCGGTGGGAGTTAAGTAGACTATCGAAACGACATACTCAGAGCAAAGTGAAGAACAGTGCTCTCTCGAGCGCGTCCATTCGACTCCTCGTTCTCTTCATTATGTGTAGCGGCATAGTCATAACCTCCACACCTAGAATCTGTGGGTAGGAAATACTGTGGGCATTTGGAGAACGGTTCTTGAGCAAAACTGTATGCATCCAGGGCACATTTGTTTGTTGTTCTATCGTGATTAGAATGATCAATCCAATATGACCCTGACGACGAGTTTCCTCATGGTACGGTCCGCCCACACTTCTACTATAATTCGGAGTTGTGTAACTTAAGGTGCTGACAATATGCTATTGATTATGACCGCCAATGATTCAGCAGTCTTTTTCCCAGTTCTGAGCAAACATAGAGCATTGACCCATGCTTATATATACGAATATAAAAAGAGAAAAGTCAGAGACAGAATGATGAGGTATGCAATGATTTTTCCGAGGGCAGCTTTGAGCTGCCTGTTGCTAGTGCTAGTGCGTTCACTGGTGGTATTATGCTCGTCAGAGTACATGAAGAGTAAGGTCAATAGTCAGAGCCTGACAAAATTCCTTATCTACATAGATGATCCAAAGTCACATTGATTAGGTCATACTGGTTGAGAGCAATGTTGTGTTATGGAGAAGTCTTTTGAAAACACAAACCCATCTCAAAATTCCTATGGATGATAAACTTCACTTTACATTACCTATATATAGAGAATAAGCAACGATCGCAAATCACTGCTTCTGTGTGACCGCGACCTTATAATTGGTTTTTCGGTCTAGTGATAGTCGAAAAGGTAAGGGGATCGCTCAAATGTAGCTGATAATAACTCAGACTTTACATATTGCAGCCGACATTAAATAATTAGATTGTACATATTGAAGCCTATACAGATCACCAAATCAGTCAAGGACTCGATCACCGTGACCATGTCAATTTATGAGTTCGAAAAAAAAGAGAGCTCCGCTGTCACGTTTCTATCACTCCAGGAACGAGGCACGCTAAGCTTATCTCATTCACCATTGTGTCAGGAGGCAGTGAATTGCTCGTTTTACTCAAATAGTGGCAGATCAGAGAAGTGCTTTAGTAATCATCGAGCACAATGGAAGCGAATAAACCTTACTTTCTCCAACAACTTGATAAAGAATATCATGTTCATCTTCAAAAACATAAGCTAATACAAGGATATAAGAGCGATAATGAAACAACAGTACTGCTACGCATAACATAAGGCAGTGAATAATGATGAGATGAAATTGAGAAAGTGATGGCGAGACGAACCATCCAAACAAGGCATTGTTCGAGGCAGACAGCTGTAGGACCCGAGCGTCCTCGGTCCGAACGTGAGGCCGATTCCTCGAATAACTCTCCAAGCCGTTGTCCCGCCCTGAAAGTGAATTCGATGAATCATCGTTTAGGGAAACTGCGTTGCGACCGTTTTGACTGTTTTTAACAAAGAGATTGTGCATGCAACGTGATGTCAGGGATAGGCAATACGTTTTGAAATAAGTGTAATGTCGAGACCCTTCTCGTCACAAGTTTGAATAAATACGGATTTTTTCAATATAACATCGAATTTATTGAGACATTTGCTAAATTTAATCCGAGCTTGTTCCAATACAGCCAAACAACATGATAGAAACCAACTTTTCTCACCAAAATTTACGGAGGTTACATACCCTGACTTAGTTACACATCCACTTTCCACTAACTTTCATATTCCTTCTTCCGTTTTATCCTGCTAAAATGCGATACAAGGTGTCTTAAAATTGTAGGCGCTATTTAATGGCAAAGTGAGTGAAGCTTCTCAGTTAGGAATGACAATGGAATCTATACGCACTTTTGCTAAACCTATGGTCTACAACATGCCACGACCACATTTCAAGATACACTCATGAGCGCCGATAGAGGCTCAAAGTTTGCTTTCGTACTCCTCGCATAATGCACGGAGGTGTTCTCTCCCATTTCTTCCAGTTGTTATATTGAAAAAAATCCGTTAGAATAGTCTGCTTTCTAGGATTCCGAAGTGTGTCTGCAATAAGAAAGAGACAAAGGTCTTAGGTTAGCATACAAAAAAAGACGAAGAACAACAATTGGTTCGTTTCGCCTCCTAATCATACGGAACAATGTCAGTCATCACCCGAGGCTATTCAGTGATTAAATGATGACTATCAAGAAGATGTTGATACAGATGTCACAGTATAGCAAAGGATAGATGTGAGTAACTGACTAATACGTGAATAATAATACGTATGTAAAGAATGAAGGAGAGAAAAATCTAGAACACTGAACTTATAGGTAGACGTTGAGTTCGAATAAGATATCTTCCTGCCAAAAACTGTCTTAAAGGGTTACCAATAGAAGTGGATTAGATCAAAAACAAACTAGACCCGAGAATTAAGGTAGTTAGTAAAATAGTGTTGATGGTAGTTAGTAAAATAGTGTAGTGTCAATGTTGCTATATATTCTAAATTTATAAGCAATATATTTGTTTCTATATGGACATTCAACAATATTAAAGCAATGAACTCTTTACTGTATCCATTGGAATTAAGTATAACAATCATATCCAATTTCTTATCTAGTGTATCCCTCGTGGAGCACGTATTAGCTATCCTAAGTGTTTAGATATATATAACTGAGGCTTTTTTGTTGACGGATCTATAAGAATCTTTATGAGGGAATCTAAGGGTTTTAAATGTAAAGTGGTCAGTTTTATTATATCGGGAAGTAATTATTCTATCATCTCTGGTGGTTATGTTTAAATCCAAGTAATTACTGTTACTTTCATCAATATTCTTTTTTTTAATTCCAACTTTCCATCATAAATTCTTATAAGTTGATTTTCTATTTCTTCGTCTTTCTGATTATGCACCACTAACGAGTAGTCCATATATCTGAACGGAATAAACAACTTTGCACTATTAAACTCACAGGTTGTGCTATAGATGAATTCCACAACGGAAAGTGTAAGGACTGCCAACAGTGGACTAAAGCTTCCTCTTGTGGCACCCCTTTGCTTTGTTTATACAATGTTCTACTGAACAAGCAATAACTGTTGTTCAATTAATATCCCGTTAAGTATATTAAATCCTGTTTTTGTACATTCTGTTATTTTTGACTTTTTTGCCGTCTGAGTAGACGACCTTGAAACCATTTTCGAGAGATTCTCCCATTCAGGCGAAATAGTATTAATGATCAGGGCATAACGACATAGCTTTATAGCAATGCCATGAAGAAGTATTGTGTAAACTTCGCTACTTGTCATCTGCTCATCGATATGGGTAAGATATGGTACCCTTGGTGTTGCTCGCTGTGCTTGCGCTGCTCCTTCTGTTCGCTGTTGTTGTTCAATTAATGAAACCCATATAAAGTACTGCTCTGCTAACTTTATCGGAGATAAATCTTGAGTACCGTATAACCTCTCAAAGCAGCTATCTCACCAGCTAAACGTTATGCTTTATGACAATCAGATTCACCCGTGCAGATACAGACACTGCAGATACTTGATGCTGTTTTCAGCATGTTGCTGATGAATGCACGTTTAGCGACCTCTGGATGACCTTTTTTATAGCCACTCTACCTGTCAACTTAACATCCTGAACAAGTTGAAGTCCCAATCTCTTGACTCTGCCTTCGTCATGTCAAAGAAGAACTGTATACGCCCGATATCGAAACTCTGACTCGGCTCTTTGGGCAGTGCTCGTCGGAATGCACACTACCCACTTTGTGAACTTACTTACTTAGATACTTAGGCGACCGACCATCAGCACGGCGATTGGCCTTGTGCGGTCCCAACTTCTTTTCCATTGTTCTCGCGTACTCACCCCAAAGGACTCCGGATCATAGGCGGTGTTTCGATAAGCAGAGAATCTGCCCGTCGTAAAGGAGGACGGCCATGCGGCCGCTTCTTCTCTCGCGGGTACCATCGTACAGTGGCAGAGCTCCATCGTCCATCCTCTGTTCTCATTAGGTGTCCGGCAAATCCGTGCTTCGCTTCATCGATGTGAACTAGAACGTCTTTAACTTTCGACATTGCTCTGACGCCGGAATATGAAGTTTGAGCTCTCGTTGCCGACTCAGCGTCAAACCCAAAAGACGACTTTCAATCGGAGCCTGGGTGGACATAAAATGCCTCTCCAGCGATTTCGTCAGAGCCAAGGTTTCTCCCGCGTAGCTGAGGGCAGGCAACACCGTTGAATTAAATAAGTCTGCTCGAAGTTTGCAGGCCCTGGTGTCCTCTAGTACGCTTCCTATGGAGTTGATACTGCCTATCCAGCCTTGCGACGTCTTGCTAACTCTNGATTTCGTCAGAGCCAAGGTTTCTCCCGCGTAGCTGAGGGCAGGCAACACCGTTGAATTAAATAAGTCTGCTCGAAGTTTGCAGGCCCTGGTGTCCTCTAGTACGCTTCCTATGGAGTTGATACTGCCTATCCAGCCTTGCGACGTCTTGCTAACTCTCCAATTAAGTCGTTCCTCATGTTAAGCTGGCTCCCGAGGTACACGTTCTCGTCAACGTCTTTGCTAGCACCTCCTTCCAGAAGTGCAGGGGTATCGCCTGAGAATTGGTTTCGCATTACTTGGGTCTTAGAGGTGTTGATGGTGAGACCACAGTGGCTTCCTCCCTCATCTAGGCGATGCAGCATCTCAGAAGCAAGTTCTGGAGAGTCCGTGATTAACACGATGTCATCGGCAAATCGCAAATGGTTAAGATGCACACCGTCGATGTTAACACCAAAATTACTCCATTTGCAGCGACGTATGATGTGCTCTAGGCAGGCGGAAAACAGGATTGGCGATATAGGATTCCCTTGTCGTACTCCTTTCTGAACTGCTACTACAACGTCATTAGAGGAAGGATGGAATACCATTGTACAGTCTGAGTAGCATTCTCGTAGTCGGTCCACGTAGATCCTTTCAACACCTTGTTCCTTCAACGCCTCCGAGACCTTTACTGGCTCCACCGAGTCGAACGCCTTCTTGTAGTCAAAGAAGTTCATTACGAGGGGAAGGCGATGCTCCCGGGAAGCCTCGATAAGATGTCGGCAAGTTGCGATGTGGTCGAGGGTACCGAAATTTCGACGAAAACCCGCTTGTTCTACCGGTTGAGCCTCTTCCAGGGTTCTACGGATACGTGCCAGTACACATACAACGTGGAAATACTTTACAAAGTACTGGCAAAAGCGTGATAGGATGATAGTTCTAGATCTTCTTTGTCGCCCTTCTTGAACAGCAGCACCATTGAAGACTGCTTCCACACCGTTGGGACCGTACACTCCGCCAGGTAGCGAGTATGTCGCCTTGAAAGTGCTCGATATAAAGGAGGCCCGCACGCTTGTAGAAGTTCCACGAAGATGCCGTCTTCCCCCGGCGCCTTGCCTCCGGGCATCGTTTCAATCACATGACGCACTTCTGATGACAGAAAAGGCAGCACTTCCTCCAGAAGTGACCTTCTCTCTTTTCTCGCAACTGGAAGGTCCGGTCTGGACAGAGCGGAGTAGGACGTTGTCAAGATTTCTTCCATTCCAGGTATGGAGCAGCATCGAGTTCCATTCGCAGTTTTTAAGCATGGGATCCTAAGACGGTGCTCAGCTATCTT